GGTTGCTATCCAGATAAGAGTTGGAAGAAATTTAGGAGTACACAACCCACAATCTCGCTGGGGATCCAGCTAGGGATCCTAAATAAGAGCTCAAAAGTTGGGTACAGTTTGAAAAAATGTTAGAATTGTGGCCCCCTTGACCACTGCAACCGACTTGTGGTGATTAGATACACACTTACATATTATTGTTCCTTAAGCTCTTTAATTAGTTTCACTGTTTCTTTTTTTAACAAAAAGAAAATAAAAGTAATTAAACAAGCACCAAGGTGATGTATGGCAGCTATTTCAGAAAAAAAAAAGGTGGTGTATAGCAGCATGGTTTATTGTGTGCTCAAAGTTTTGGTGACTAACGCACCGACACCGTTGAGCTCGAAAACCTAGAGTGTAAGGTATAATTATGCAAGTTAGCTCCCCCAATTCTGAAAAGGTACACTATTTGAACAAGAGTCGGGAGAAAATTGGGATTACACAGCTACAATCTCTCTGGGGGATCCAACTGGGCATCCTAATTAAGAGTTCAAAAGTTGGATACTGTTTATGTGTTTCAGATCTGTAACTATTAAAAGTTTGGAATATTCATCTCATAGCAAAAGTATGTTACAAAAATTTTGAAGGAAACTAACAAGTTAGTATGCAAACTTGTTAGCTCACGAATTGATCCCAATTATGAAGTAGGACGACCAGAAGAAGACCTAAATATAGACAAGGAAAATGTACCATAAATTAGTGGGTAAATTAATATATTTGTAACGTACCAGGTTAGACATCAGTTGTGCAGTTAGTGTAGTGAGTCAGTTCATGCACAAGGTCATGGAAGTGCATATGCAATGTGCCTACAGATACTCCACTGCTTGAAAGGGCAGTCTAGGAAAGGAATTATGTTCAAAGGAAATAATAGGCTACTTCTTGAAGCATACACTAAAATCGACTATATATTTCACCAAAGGAATCTAATGACTTGAAGAAGTAATAAGCAGAATGTGGTAGCCAGTCAAGTGCGAAGTCAAAATTCAGAGCTATGGCTGAAGGGGTGCGTGAACTCCTATATTTGAAAATGATTTTAGAAGACTTTAAAATTCCGTGAGATAGACCTATGAGACTCTACTTTGACAATAAATCAACAATCAGTATCACTCACAATTTCATATAATATGACAGAACTAAACTCGTTGATGTAGATAGACATTTTATCAGAGAAAAAATTGGATAATGGGTTGATATGCACTCCATATATGGCTACTGTTTTGCAACTTGCGAAAATATTGACCGAAGAATTAAGTAATCCTAGATAAATAATGAATAATATCTATTTACCAATTTAAAGGGGAGTGTTGAGAAATTTAAAGTTTATATTAAGTAAGGTAATGGTATATAAATAATATATCCCTCTCGTTGCAATTAAAGGTACTTTCTTTTGTTGCTCATGTAAACCTGTATATATATTCAATAAATACATATTTCATTGTCCACTTTACCTCTTGATTTCTTGATCTTATCAAGAATTGACGTATTCAAGCTTGCTGAGGTGTTTGCATTTGTAACGACCCCGAAAATTTAGAATGAAATATGTGTATTAAAAATGTCAAATGCGGAAGCGTAATAAAAATTTTGATTAACATCTCTTACACAAAAAACCAAAAACGTGCTCAAAATATAAAAGAACAAACTAACTAAAAGAGATACTCGAAAATAAGAACTATAAATATAACTACGGAGTCTTTAGGCGTCCCCTTCGCCGTCTTCCTGCGGAATGGACTCAGGAACAATGTCTTCCTGATCTGAAATAGTTAAATAAGGAATGAGTTATACTACCCCAGTAAAAATATCACACTATTTCACCGCCACGGAGGTAAAGGTGGGTAGAAACTACAAAAAAGACCAATGGAGCATAATTAATAATAAACTCGTTTATTAATATAAAAATCTTTACTGTCCACTTATCTCGGTGAGATTCATGAAAACAATTTATGAAAATAATAACATTATCATCATCATGAAGTTATATGAACTGTATAACAGAATACTTACCACGCATTTGCATTTCAATCATTAAACAATACATTTTCCTCATTTACCAGCCTACTAGTATCCATGGGGATCTATAGGGGTCCCGCTACCTATGAACCCTTAACATTTATAACCTGATTCCAGAGCCGTCCCCATACCCCGTCCGGTATGGGCACCAAAATCATGAACTTCAATACCCCGTCCGGTATGAGGGTGAAACGGGCCGTCCCCATACCCTGTCCGGTATGGGCGCCAAAACACAGAAGGTTTCCATACCCCGTCCGGTATGAGAGATCACGTTCCCGGTAGGGTTCCCTACGGACCCGGTCCATCCACCATCTCTCAGAATATGTAGTTAGGCTGTTCACATTATCCATTTATTAATTCACGTAACCTTTTATTTATTTTTTCCTCAGTCACCATCATCAAATCACACACAAACATGCAAACCAGTAGTTTATGCCAAACAAGACAACACACAACATCGGGTTCTCAGTCATTCAACCCATAATCAATAAAACAGTGATATATGCACATGAAACTGTAAAATGAAAACATCAGACATCATATTGCATTTAAAACTGTAAAATAGAACAAACAACAATTGATCGACAAATACACCAGACTCGGGCTCCATTAGCGATCTTAAACAATTTCACACATCTATTGATTCATGAAATACCGTTTTATCATTTATTGAACTTTAATACCATGATAGGAAATAGGGTGAGGCGTCCTTACTTGTTTTGGGGTCTGAATACGGCTCTACAGTGCGCCTACAGGCTGTCCCTAATTTTTCCTGAATTTTTCTCGGGGAACTGAAACGCACTACTGGTACCTGCACGTGTCCCAAAAAATTCTAAATTAGACATAGGGCCCCTAGGGCGCTCGGTGGGCCAAAAAATCACGAAAAACCGAAACTTACCGGCGGCGGTGCTCTCGGGTGCGGTGGCTCCTCTGGCGTGAGTCGCGTTTTGATGTTTGGCTCCGATCAACCTGTAGAGAAAAGAGCGGTGATCACAGTGGTATAAAATTTGCATCAAACAGAGGCCGGGAAGGTCCTCATCGGAGGCAAAAATCGAGGGGCGCGGCGGCACCGCTAGGTTTCGACTGGATTTTTCGGCCGTTTGGCCGGTGGTTTGGCTCCGGTTTGGCCATAGGTAGACTCAGCGTCGAAAAACGAGTAAGGAGGAGAAAATTTACCTCGATCGGCGGTCGGAAACTTCCCCGGTGCGGCGGCGGGTGGCGGCGGCCGGCTCCTCCGGCGTCTGGTTCTTCTTCTCCGGCAAGCACTGGCAGCTAGGGTTTCTTTGGTCAGGTGTGATTGGGGTTATTTATACCCTTTGCCTTTTAATCTCGACCGTCCATCAAGATTAAATCTGGACCGTTCGATCGCGATTTAATTTGGATTAAATATGGGCCGTTCATCGCGATGCAATCTGGGCCGTCTGTGCCTGATTGAATTTGTGCCGTCCGTGCACGTGAATCTGGGCCGTCCGATCGCGCGCACGCAGATTGTCCACGTGGCCCGTTCCCTGGTCATCATTGCCTTGCCATGCGGCGCATTCTGGTTGGCCGAGGCTGCTGACCGGGCCGCTGACGTGGTGCTGACGTGGCACAACTTTTCTAAATTTTGTTTTGACCCCCGGTTTCCGATTTTCTTTTCGAAAACACCCCCAGAATCCAAATTTTCATCATTTTTTCTCAAAATCAATTTCAATTAAATTCAAATAATATTTTTACCCAATTTTATCATTATTATTATTTTTATTTTCATTGAATTAAATTAAATTAAATTAAATTAAATAAAAAAATTAAATAAATAAATAAGAATAAAAATAAATAAATAAAATTTTTATTTTTATTCAGGTGTTACAGCATTGGATTGGGTGGTTAATTATTTCATAACAATCTAACTCTAATCATATTGAGTTAAATTGTCCTCTCTTTCTCACATAGAGGCTTTCTCAGAGAGAGTCTCCTTTGGCCTTCCCTCACGTAAATTTGACATCTTTTTCTCACATAGAGTCTCCTCTGCCCCTCCATCACTTAAATTTTGAGATAAAAGCAATAAAATGATTGTAAATTGTAGATTCTTTGATAAATATTGAATTCATAAAGATCTGGAAGATGAGTATTTTTTGCTGCTCAAAGAAATAGTATAATGCAGTTATGCTTGCGGTTTTTATTATTCTGCTATCAAATCTTTTATGTTTATCACACTTTGTATTTGTTAGATATTGGCTCTTTTATTATTTATGTGTTTCTGATCTATAACTATTGCAGTTACTATGATCCGTATCGAGGTGTTATTGTATATTTTCGGCTAATTGATGGAGCTATAAAGAAAGGTGACCGAATTTATTTTATGGCCAGCGGAAAGGTATTTCAAATATTTTTGTTTACTCCTTCCAAATATGAATGTGATGCAGGATCTTCTAATTATTTTTACTGGTATAGGATTACTATCAAAATCATTATATTTTAGCTAGGGTTATATAGTTTTTAAGGTTTCATTTTTACTTAGTTTTAGTGTGGCACTTAGAGAGAAACTAAGCTTCTTATATATATATAAAAGAAGCATTTACTTGGATATGTATAGCTTTACAAAGAGGGAAATTGATGATAGTAAATCAAAATCTGCATATCAGTAGGATTTCCTAATCGACATGTTCAATTTTAGGAATATTAGTTCCTTATGAAAAACTGGGAGATTTTCTAACACTTCCCTTAAGCTAGTGAATATGCATCTCTTGTTCCAAGCTTGGTGACAAATTTTTGGAACGTTGCGCTGCTGAGTCCTTTGATTAGCATATTTTTGACCATCAACTAAGATGATGGAGTACAAATCAATGTATTATTCAACTTTTACGCTATGAAGTATCTATCTACTTAAATGTATTTCGTTTTGTTATATTGTACATGTCAAAGGAATTAACTCGCAATTAATTAGTCAGCAGATTTCATGCAATTAATCAACAAATATTATGCAGTTAATCAGCATATTTGTTACAATTATGGTAGCAGATTATATGCAATTAATCAGCAGATTTTAGATAATTATGATAACAAATTATGCAATTAATTAGGCATAAGATTTTATGTTTAATTTTATCACTTGTATAGTTTTAATAAGTTTAATTAGGACAGATTTGTTTAGTTAATTTAGGAGTAGAAAATTAACTTGTATATTTGTATATATAATGAGAATTCTTTTCTATGAAGGACACAAAAATTTTTCTACTCAAAATCTCTTAATTGTCATGGTATCAGAGCATAAGTTAAAATTTTTTAAGTGTTTTTTTCTTATTTCAAGCTTCAATGTTATTCTTGTTCTTAGTATAATCCCTTGTTCTTGTTTGTTCTTGATCAAGTTCTCTCAGTAATATGTCCACAGACAAGTATGAGTCCATCTTGATTCGTTTTAATGGCAAAAATTATTCAGTCTGGGTATTATACTTCAAATTATTCAAAAAAATTCTGCAACTACTATAATAAGCACGACCACGTCATTATGGAATATCCTATCCGCTCTCCTAAGAAATCTAAAATAGCATATACAGCGTTTGTTGGTTCTTCTAGTACTGGTAATTTGTGAACATGGCATAAAGTGCTCTTGCTGCTGCTACTCCAGTTATAACTCTGAAATGATTCAACAAATGATAATCTCTATTTTCTTTGCCATAGGACTCTTAAGTAAATCTTTCTCAACATCATCCTCTTGGTACTTTGATTCTGCAGCTTCTAATCATATGATTAACAATACCAATTTTCTTACCAATGTAAAGAAATATTCTGAAAATCTCAAAATTTATATAGCTGATAGAAACCCTTTACCTATCACAGCCACTGGTGACATTTCTTTTTTTCTAACAAATATTTTTGTCTTTCATAATCTTACTAGTAATCTTGTTTCTATCGGTAAGTTGGTTAATGATAACTATAAAGTGGAATTTTCTAAATTTGGTTGTATTGTGCAGGATCAATAATTAGGAAAGATGATTGCAAGGGGGCCTAAAGTAGGAAGTTTTTTTCCTCTCCCATTTCCTTTATCTCCATGTTTCTCTCTGCCCATTGTCACTTCTAATTCTGCTCATGTTGATTATCGAGCATGACATAAACTTCTCGAACATCCAAACTCTAATGTACTCCATGTTTTATTAAATTCTAGTTTGTTTGGGAATGTAAACTCATCATCTTTTAGTGTTGTTCAATTTGATTGCAATTCTTGTAAAATTGACAAAAGTAAAACTTTACTATTTTCCACTCATACACCAAATGTAGTTCAACCTTTTGATTTGATATATATTGATTTGTGGGGTATGACACTAGTTACTTCTCATGCTAATTACAAGTATTTTGTCACTTCTATTGATGACTATAGTTGTTTCATATGGATCTATTTTCTTCATTTTAGGGACGAATTATTTTTTATTTTCAAGGTTTTCCATGCACAGATTCAAACCCAATTTTTTGCTAAAATTAAAATCTTTTGCTCTGACAATGGGGGTGAGTACATATTTCATTCTTTTCAGGAGTTCCTACAAACTAATGGAATAATTTCTCAACGATCTTGTCCGCGGAGAGAAAGAATCGTCATCTTCTTAATATTGTTTGCACTCTTCTACAAGAGTCTTTTATACCCTCTCGGTTTTGGTGTGAAGCTCTCTCCACTGCTATGCACCTTATCAGCAAATTGCCCTCTCACTCACTGAACCATGCTCTCCTTTTACTCGATTATTTGGTCGCACTCCAAATTATTATAACCTTCGTACTTTTGGTTGTGTGTGTTTTGTACATCTTACTGCACATGAACGCACAAAACTACAGCTCAATTAGTTCAATGTGCATTTTTAGGATATTCATTACATCAGAAATATTTTATTTGTTATGATCCTAATCTGCGTCGTATTCGAATATTTAGAAATATGTCATTTTTTGAAAATCAGTATTTTTTTGCTATTCACCATGATCATATTTCTTCTTCATTTTCTGTTTTGCCATGGTTTACTAATTCTTTTGCAGATCTTGTACCTTCTAAACCTCTCTTGGTGTATCAATGACGCATGCCCAAACATCATATCGGACTTTTAAACCTAACGGACCCCCTCCAACGGATTATTTGACGGTTAATTCTATTCTAACAGCCGCACCTGCTCCTCTTATACGCA